AGAGAGAGAGAGAGAGAGAGAGAGAGAGAGAGAGAGAGAGAGATGAGATAGAGGAGAGGCGAGAAAGATGCGGCAAAAAATAGAAGAAAACATGGATAGAGGTCAATCAGATGGATGGGTTATCAAGCAGAGATGGGAGGTTGAGAATCACTGTATTCATGACAGTATGACTGACTCAATGACTGATATATAAATACATGGCTGAAATTACGTGATAATAGTCTTTGAAGTATTCGAAAACGATTACATTAAGGATACTCTCAACCTTTTGCACAGGTATTGCTCTAATAAAGATTAAACGTTTATTGACGAATGAATCGAATCAATCACTTATTTTATTTATAGAGGAGATATATCTCTATGCTCAAGGCAAAAAAATTCATGAAATTTCCAGCACCTAATTATGTTACCACAAAAATTTTGAATTTTTATGTAAAAATGGTATTTTGGATATTTCTCAATTACCAGAAAGAGTGAGGATACAGAATTTTCGCCACATGTTAAGCACAATATGTACCAAAATAGGGCATCAGGATTTTTCTTTAAGTTTCATATTTACTGAAAAAACTGCCTAAAATTCAAGTCGCACGTTTGAATTTAAAATTTTTGCGAATAAAGAGACATAACTCATAAAATACGGCACTTAATAACAATCCCTGACGCGCTTTTTTACAGCAATATTTCACCATTAAAACGAATTTTAAATTAAATTATTTCGAGTTGTAATCACAGAGAAATATCTATTTATACATCGACTACTAAGTCAGAAATTGGAACGGAGAAATCAGCGTTTTTCTGACGTCAGCCGCGGCTCACTACACATATACGCGGGCAAGCAAAACGCTGTGACAGTTCACATGTACCGTTATATGGAGAAATGAGCATGTACACAAGTGGCACATAGTGTTAGCCATCGAATAAAGTTGAAAATGAAAAATCGGTAAAAATTTTCCTAAAACCTTGGAGAGTATCCTTAACTGAGAATAATGCCGATGTATATGCACATGTAGAAGCATAAACCTTGAACTGAATAAACTTTGATTAAAAAACATTTACATTAGAAAATCGGTGAAGTGTAATTGCTTGCATGCGACATGAAAATACAATGCATCACATAGCGATAACAACATTTAGCAACATTTTAACAATAAGACATGCATACTGGTATGGCACTACTTTGGTAGAAAATACAAATAAATTATGAAATTATATGTAGGTCTGACAATGGGCCTCTAACACACCAGAAAAAATATACACATGTACGCAATATATATATATATATATATATATATATATATATATATATAAATATATATATATATATATATTATATATTAAATTCAAAATTGAGAATCAGTTAATACATATCAGAGATTGCAATATACATGTAGTTTTTAAATGTTTGAGCATGTGTTCAGTAAACTTGAAATATTCTGTAGCAACTGTTTACAATGCAAAAGCTGTGCACAATGGAAAACGTGACTACACAGCACAAGCCTGTGTAGCTGTCACCAGATGTCACAGTGTGCAATCAGTTTACATTGTACAAACTGCATTAGATTTTACACGCATGTAAACGTACACTCTGTATTTTGTACAAGCAACTGCATACGCCTTGCGAGTACATTGCACCACCCATGAGCATCGCACACACTACAGCGTGCGAGCACACTAGCACGAATAGCGTAGACGTAGCACACGAGCGCGCCGTACATTGCACGTCGGATAGCAGCATGTACGTCATGCGACAATAATACGCAGACGACACAACGTGACAACGTGGCGACGTGCTACAACAAAGTGATAACGTGGCGGTAATGCTAAAACACGGCGGAAACGCGACAAGGTGGCGGTAACGCTAAAACACGGCGGAAACGCGACAAGGTGGCGGTAACGCTAAAACACGGCGGAAACGCGACAAGGTAGCGGTAACGCTAAAACATGGCGGAAACGCGAGGACGTGGTGGTAACGCTAAATCACGGCGGTAACGCTACACGACGGCGGAAATGTGACATGGCCGAAACGCGACGTGGCGGTAATGCTAAAACATGGCAGAAACGCGACGACGTGGCGGTAATGGTAAAACATGGCGGAAACGCGACGACGTTGCGGTAATGCTAAAATATGGCGGAAACGCGACGACGTGGCGGTAATGCTAAAACATGGCGGAAACGCGACGACGTAGCGGTAATGCTAACCCATGGCGGAAATGTAACGACGTGGCGGTAACGCTAAAACATGGTGGAACCACGACAACATGGCGGTAACGCTGAAACACAGCGAAGGAGACGCGGCGACACAGCGGATACGCGACAACATGGCGGAAACGCTAAAACACGCCGGAGCAAACGCGACGACATGGCGGTAACACTAAAACATGGCACAAATGCGACAAACATGGCAGTGAGGTGGATACTTACGATGTGGAGCATTTCTAGCGTCTTCGCGGTGAACATGATCTTGGAGACAGTGATGTTGCTGTCTTGCTGAACGTCCTCGATGCCGACGACCGTCTTGCTGCCAATCTTGTTGTAGAGAACGCGCTGCCAGTGATTCCTGTCGAATGGGTCGGCCTACACGCAGCAGCACACGTAAACATCAGTTAATACATACATCAGGGAACACATACATCAGTAAGCATGTGTCTGTGATCTTGTTGTAGAGAACGTGCTGCCAGTGATTCCTGTCGAACGAGTCAGCCTACGCGCAGCACACGTACACATCAGCTAATACATACATTAGGAAACACATAAATCAGTAAGCATGTGTAGTCAGCCTACGCGCAGCACACGTACACATCAGCTAATACATACATTAGGAAACACATAAATCAGTAAGCATGTGTATGTGTGCTTGTTGTAGAGAACGTACGTGCTGCCAGTGATTCCTGTCAAACGGGTCGGCCTACACGCAGCACACGTAAACATCAGTTAATACATCTGTGAAGGCATACATCAGTAACTACATACATCAATGAGCATATGCTTCAGGGAACACATAAATCAGTGAAAACATACACCAGTGAGCATATGCGTTCGTGAACATATGCACGAGTGAACACAAACATCAGTGAGCATATGCATCACAGTGACAGTAGTGAGCCGGGTTTGCATCGGTGGTTGAGGACATGAGGGTTATGGTCGACATGTGTCGAGTACTATTGACATTACGATGGTAGCAGGTACATCTGACGTTAGTGGTGGCTGAGGACTGAGAGATAGGGGGGTACATACACTTGATATCAGTGACAGTAGGGTATAGGATTGGTGTACATCGGGAAGACTACACTGACGTTAAACATGTTTTGTTTTCCCACAATGAGTAGTGTGGATGTCGGAATTCATAGCACCTCATGCAGGTACCCCCTCCAACATCCTGGGACATGTATTGTTCCTTCATGCATTATTAGCTGACGAGATGTTAAAAATAAATTATTGCAGTTGGCTTGAATCTGTAGGGTGAAAAAACCCAGAAGGGATGCCATCTCATAACAATAATCATCACATTATGAAATTATAACGCAGCCAATAAAGGTTTTAACAGTGCTAACAAAAAGCAGTTGAGAATACATTACCATTGTGTTGGAGTCTATCAGTGCGTTCCTCACATATTCTTCTACCACCTCCTCATTTTCCTTCTGCAATAGGATATCAGAACAGAAATCAGTCACGTGAAAATAAACTTAACAGTCAATCAAGGGCCACTTTAATTTACGCTATATCCATACGATAATGGGTTAATTAACTAATCCCCGAAATTCAGTTGTTATCCCATCGTAAAGCATCTACAATGTCTAGACCTTCACACTGAATATTCACGCAGGTTTTGTGGAGTTATCTCTAAATGGCCAAGCATTGTAGACACCTGACTTTGCTGCAATTGGTATAAACAGGCAGCATAAAACCTGTTGTGCTTCCAAAAAAATCTAACCATGTAGTTATTTGTGCCAGTGTGCTAGTTATTCTGTCAGAAACGTATCACGAAAAAGGTCACATTCAACAACGAGTGCCGTCCAACGAGTATTGGATCAGTACAACGATTTCTTGTCATCAGAGTTTACTGCCGCAGGGACGTGTGCTGTGCGTCGCGGGGGCAAGACGCATTGTAAAACGTTTCACGAAAAAGACAAATTCAGTCAAATTCAAAAAACAGGCGCCGTCCAACGAGTCTCGGATCATTGCAACGATTCGTCTGCAGAGATTACGATTCCGCCACCATCAGAGTTTACTGCCGCAGGGTCGCGTGCCGCGCGCTGCTAGGGCTAGTTGACGCACCGCTAGCAGCTTCTGCTTCGCGTGCTGCACGAGCTCCTGCTCTCTGCCTCCGAACAATGTCAGTCCGATCGGCAGCATCCTCTTGAGACACGCCACGTTGAGACTCTGCGTCGCATCCTTCATGCTCTTGCCCCTGCAGTGATAAGTAGCCCATGTTTTTGGTACAGCAGAGTATTAAAGCTGTCGCAGTGATAATTACTCGTGTTTTGGTATTAGCAGCAATGGGCACACAGCCGTTCTTATGATTATAATACTTGAACTTCAGAAGAGCTCCATACTCATTGTATGCTAGTTATCTCATGACATGTGACACGTCAACTACGCAGGTCATAAGCAAGCGGCCCCAATGCACAGGTAAACTCGATATTAGTTACGCAGAGACACATACCTCAAGGTTTGAAAACATAGCATGACTGTGTTGGGATTGGCAAAACTAAACACAACTGAAAATTAAGACATGTTGATTAGGCAATTAAGCCTAAATTAAATCCTCCATTGTCGGAGGATTTATGGGACGTCACTTTGAACCCAAGATGCGTTATAAACCTGGGGATATATAACCCCGCGTTCTGTATGTAACAACACATGCCGGCACTAACGACGCAGTCTAGCAGCTAGTGGGTGAGTACCTGTTTCGCTTGCTCTTCTTCCAGGCTGGAGTCTCGACTGCCTGTGCTCCGTCGCTACTCGTGGGCATGATCAGCGCCATGTTGTTGATGGCGTTCGCTGACACAAACTTCTGCTCCTCTCGTCTGAAATGCTGCCAGAGACAAAGCGCAACAGTTAACGACAACGCCTGCGAGTTTAGAAAGAATAGAATTCCCATCAAGCGGCAGCCTTTATAGAGTACTCTGCGTTGCTACCTGTGATTCACCTCATGCAACTTGTGACTGCCACAAACTTCTGCTTCTCTTGTTTAAAGTGCTGCGAGACAAAGTGCGACAGTTCACGACGACGACGCGCGTGATCGTACGACGAGAAGGGTCTGACGTTTTCCATCATTCGATGGAACCTGTGATTCACCTTGATGTAACTTGTGACTGTCACTCATAGAGTACGCTATGTCATCGCTACCTGTGATCCACCTTGATGTAACTTGTGACTGTCACTTATAGAGTACGCTATGTCATCGCTACCTGTGATCCACCTTGATGTAACTTGTGACTGTCACTTATAGAGTACGCTATGTCATCGCTACCTGTGATCCACCTTGATGTAACTTGTGACTGTCACTTATAGAGTACGCTATGTCATCGCTACCTGTGATCCACCTTGATGTAACTTGTGACTGTCACTTATAGAGTACGCTATGTCATCGCTACCTGTGATCCACCTTGATGTAACTTGTGACTGTCACTTATAGAGGTACGGCCTATGTCATCGGTATCCTGTGATCTCATCCTTGATGTAAGCTTGGTGACTGTCATTATACAGATAGCTATGTGCATCGTACCTGTGATCCACTTGATAACTTGTGACTGTCACTTATAGAGTACGCTATGTCATCGCTACCTGTGATCCACCTTGATCTAACTTGGGACTGTCGCACTTATAGAGTACCATACTTGGTTACTCGTGATTCACTTATGTAACATTGTGACTGTCGCTTATAGAGTTAATAGAGTACTCTACGACTACTCCCTGTGATTCACCTTACGTAACTTGTGATTGTCACTTACCTTGAGACGTGTGCCAGACGTGAACACCTCGCTACGTGCGTGAACAGCTGTACCGCCCCTATGCGAGGATGCTTCAGCAGTGTGACCTACGACAACGCAAGCATCCATGACGAGACGACACGCGCGGCCACAGCTGTAACAAGTTGTGGGCAAACGTATAGATATGCAACTTTGCTGTAGTGCAGTGTAGCCTGGGGGTATTTAAACAATTTATTAATTGAGCTCCACCTATGGAGGTCGACGTATTTGATGAGAAGAGGATCAGAAGGCTAGATGTCTCTCACCAAGAACTTGGAAGTCCTAAATGGCCACCAAACAGATAGCAAGTGAAGTAGAAAAAAAAGGATAAAAAAATGCATCTATTTAAAAAATGCTGCCGTCTGCACGAGATCTACGCCAATGTATAAATGATTCTATTTCCTAAATAAAACCAAAAGATCTTTTATATCTAGAATGTGTCGTGGGCTAGATACACATATTTTGATATGACCATTTTGGCTGGACTGAGTTCACGGACCTTTTACATAATGGTTTTTAAAGTGACAAAATCCGACGAAACTCTACCATGACGCTACGACAGTTAACAGAGAAGGCAAAGTTCCTTCTCCTCTGACAGATTAACTTATTGCAAATTACTCGGTCAGCATCTTTACGCCTGTAGCTCTTCCTCTGCCTCCTCCATATCCTCGTGCGCTGCCGGCCCATCTTGATGTTCTCCTCTGGCCTTGTAGATCTTTCGTGTTGTCCTTGAGGCGCTCGGCGATCGGCGACAGAGATACTCGTTCAGCAGGTCTGCCGTCGAGTTGGACACGATGCCAGGTAGCGAGCAAGCTGTACACGCATAGCAAGATGTGATGTGATCTGACATCGGCATGGCATGGCAAGACGTAACGTGATGTGACGATGACATGGCAAGACGTAACGTGATGTGACATGGCATGGCATGGCAAGACGTAAACGTGACGTGACGTGATGTGACATGACACGGCAAGACGTAACGTGATGTGACATGCATGGCATGGCATGGCAAGACGTAACGTGATGTGACATGACTGGCATGGCAAGACGTGATGTGATGTGACATGACATGGCATGGCAAGACGTGATGTGATGTGACATGACATAGCAATGGCAAGACGTGATGTGATGTGACATGACATGACATGGCGTGGAAAGACATGATGTGTGTGATGTGACATGACATGGCATGGCAAGACGTGATGTGATGTGACATGACATGGCATGGCAAGATGTGATGTGATGTGACATGACATGGCATGGCAAGACGTGATGTGATGTGACACTGGCATGGCAAGACGTGATGTGATGTGACATGACATGGCATGGCAAAGACGTGATGTGATGTGACATGACATGGCATGGCAAGATGTGATGTGATGTGATATGACGTTGACGTGACACAACACAACACGGCATGGGCAGACGTTAAGTAACGTGACATGACACGACACACACATGACGTAAGCTGCACCATAACACACGCATCATGCAGCGAGCCTCAGTCGGCAGATCGGGGCCGACTCCAAACCTATGCCTAACCCTGGCCCTAATGCGCAGGTCGACACACGTCTACAGCTTGCATTCTGCGATCAGCCACAACCGCCTGACTGCGACGACCCCCCACCAATCTTCTACGATATTCTATTGACGTTCCAGCGTGTGCCGCACCTGCTATGCCATTCATCCACGGTGCCCGACATGATCCATGGCATCATGTTTTGTGACGTGACACGACATGACATGGCAAGACGTGACGTGACTTGACATAACATGACATAACATAACATGATGTAACATAACGCACCGCACAGCAAGCCTCAGTCAGCATCTTCTACGATATTCTATCGATGTTCTACCGCCGGTACCTGCTATGCCGTTCATCCACGGCGCCTCGACCTCGCTGACGTGGTTCTTGATGATGTGCAGCACGTTGCTGAGCACAGTGTTCAGATGTTCACTTGTCACCATCGTCACGTGGTCGCCGTGTTCGACGCCATCCGTGTCCGGACCCTCCGACCACCAGTGCGCCAGGTAGCTAGCACGCATGGACGGTAAGCGGACAAATGTTAGGACTCCCGCGAGGTATCCACATCCCCATCATAACTCGCGATGTGATCGAGTGGTTGTGCTTACAATTTATTATTTATTGTTTAATTACTATTTCATTAATTTTTTTTCAGCAATATTTTTTATTTATTGCTGTAACTTTATTTTTGATAATCCAAAACTTTATATTTATTTTTTATTTATTGCTGTAACTTTATTTTTGATAATCCAAACCATGTTAAAAATAATTAAATGAATAATTGACAAGAGTACTCATTCTGATAAGAGTGAGTGTTGTAAGTTGTGTAACGTAATCCTATGCTACACACAGATATAACAGAGATGGTGCACACATATATAAATCAGAAGTCTATTAGATATTATATATTATACACTCGTGATATAGATGACAGGGGACACATACCTGCAGAGCATGGGTAGCATCACCTCGATGACGTGCGGCGATTCTTCAAATTTGAATGGCTTCTCCACTTCGCTGATGATGGCTTCTAGAGTTGGTATGCTTGCTGCCAGCTTGCTCATGATGTCTGTGTGTGTACACGTGTCGGTGTGAAACATATTTAGCTCATTACCGTTAAATAATTTGTGTCATTCAACTGTATAATATGAGACAGACTATAGTGCCAATAAGACTGTGTCCAGCTATAAGAGCAGTATGTTCAGCAGATTTACCAGTGTTGGCATTGGTGTAAGATGTTAACCAGAAGGCCAGGATTTAAACGACTACATCTATGTTAGTTGTCTCGTCTCTCAATAACTTGGGACTGTCACTTATAGAGTACTCTACTTGGTTACTCGTGATCCACCTTGATGTAACAATTGTGACTGTCGCTTATAGAGTAATAGAGTACTCTACACTACTCCCTGTGATTCACCTTACGTAACTTGTGATTGTCACTTACCTGAGACGTGTGCCAGACCGTGAACACCTCGGCTACGTGCGTGAACAGCTGTACCGCCCCTATGCGAGGATGCTTCAGCCAGTGTGACCTACGACAACAACAAGCAAACATCGATGACGACGACACGCGCGGCACAGCTGTAACAGTTGTGCAAACGTATAGATATGCAACTTGCTGTAGTGCAGTGTAGCTTGAGGGGGTATTTAAACAATTTATTAAATGGACTCACCTATGGAGGTCGACGTATTTGATGAGAAGAGGATAGAAGGCATAGATGTCTCTCACAAGAACTTGGAAGTCCTAGAATGGCCACCAAACAGATAGCAAGTGAAGTAGAAAAAAGAGGATAAAACATTCATCTTATTTAAAAAAAGCTGCCGCTGCACGAGAACCAACGCCAATGTAAGAATGATTCCATTTCCTAAATAAAACCAAAAGATCTTTATATCTAGAACTGTGTCGTGTGGCTAGATACACATATTTTGATGACCAATTTTTGCTGCACTGAGTTCAGGACCTCTTTACATAATGGTTTTAAAAGTGACAAAAATCCGACGAAACTCTACCATGACGCTACGACAGTTAACAGAGAAGGCAAAGTTCCTTCTCCTCTGACAGATTAACCTTATTGCAAATTACTCGGTCAGCATCTTACCGCCTGTAGCTCTTCCTCTGCCTCCTCCATATCCTCGTGCGCTGCCCGGCCCATCTTGATGTTCTCCTCCTCCTTGTAGATCTTCTCCGTGTTGTCCTTGAGGCGCTCGGCGATCGGCAGTAGATACTCGTTCAGCAGGTCCGCCGTCGAGTTGGACACGATGCCCAGCGAGCAAGCTGTAAGACGCATAGCATGATGTGATGTGATGTGACATGGCATGGCATGGCAAGACGTAACGTGACGTGACGTGACATAGCATGATGTGATGTGATGTGACATGGCATGGCATGGCAAGACGTAACGTGACGTGACGTGATGTGACATGACACGGCATGGCAAGACGTAACATGACATGACAATAAGCATGGCCCAAGACCGTGATGTGATGTGACATGACATGACATGGCCATGCGAAGACATGATGTTGATGCCATGTGACATGACATGGCATGGCCAAAGACGTGATCGTGATGCTGACATGACATTGGCTATGGCAAGATGTATGATGATTGCACAGATCATGCCGCATGGCAAGACGCTGATGTGATGTGACCATGAGCATGCAAAGACGTGACTGTATGTGTACATGACAGGCAGGCACAGAACGCTGATGTTGAATGTTACATGACATGGCATGGCAAATTGAGTGATGTGATATGACGTTGACGTGACACAACACACACGGCA